AAACAATGAAGTTTCTATTTGTAGCATCTTCTGTGACTCTCCCGGGAATTTTTGTCTGAATAAAAAAACCTCCTGGCATCATGACAAAGAGTGATCCACAGTAGAAATAATGAAATCATAAGTCTATAAGTAACATAAGGCTTACAGAGCTGAGTCATTAATTCTAAAATTCCATCTTATTTAAAATCACAGAAATACCTTCTGATTAAACACAAACAGGGAAAAGCAGCAAAGGCAAACTGGGTAGTATATTAACTTTATTTTGAATTATAACCTGGAATATTTCATCAGACAAATGGACATAATGAAAAACTTCTGTGGTTGAATTAAACAAATGTCTTGCATAGGAATTGCTAATTCTAAGAGCTCAATGAACTGTGAGTTAGATGAACATAAAACAAGAACCATCTACTTGTGTGCAAACAAATGCAATTTAACTTTTAAAAAATTGTTTTTAGAAGTGCACCCCTGAAATCTATATAATTTCATTAATCAATGTCACCCAGTAAATTCAGTGAAAAGTAACCCGTTTGCCTGTTATTAACCTATGAACCAGGAGGTCAGAGTTTGATTCCTGGTCAGGGCATGTGCCCGGTTGCAAGCTCGGTTGCAATTTAACTTTAAGTAACAGACGGTTTGTTTTGTTTTTTTCCAGTCTTGGGTGAGTGACTTAGATAATCATATTCCCTGCTGTGGATAATATCATCTCATCTAGACCACATGTGAGCCTTCTAGGCTAGAGACCTCTCGCCTACAGTCAGAGGCTCCCTTAAATATTGTTAAAGCTCCTGGATTCATTTTAATGACCCTGATATTGATCAAGAGCATTATCCACATAAAATGATCTAATAAATAGGCCAAGGAAAGCATGTCTTAGTGAAATAAACATTAAGTTTGTGACTTCATTGCATTTTTGTCCTTTGGAACTTTGCTATCAGTCCCCATAAAACTTTTGATTTAGATCAGTGATGATCAACCATTTTTGGCTTAAGGCTCTAACTAAGTTAGGGCTCTAACTAAGGCAAAAAATATTAAAAATTTAAGGCCACATTATTTTCTTCAGAATAAATATTGCTTTGTGAAATTCTCATGGGGGGATGTGTAATTGCACAACTTTGCTGAGTAAAAGACAGTCCATGAGGAAACTGGCTCTGCTTTGCAGCTACTAAAATATTAATTTACGGGGTTCTCAATCCAGACGAAGCTTTCTCACGGTTTATCCTGACGTGAGCCCGCAGGTGTGTTGCAGAGCTGGTCAGGCTGTGGGTCGCTCAGTACTGGCTTTGCTTGTGATAATGGTCAAAATAAGCTAATATCTGTTGGCTATGTATTTGATCATAACAAACTTTAGGAGAATATCTTCCAATTTCAAAATTATACTCCGTTGTTTACTGACTTAACGAAAATGCTTTTAGTGACACTGCAAGTTGGTTAATAACCCTCCTGGGGTTACATTTCCCGCCGTGTCAACGTGTGTTTACACAGAACACTGGCGGGACACAGAGCAGAACAGGAACGAGAGAAGGAAAGATGTGTTTCTAAGTCACAGAATACCCGTGTTCATCACGGCAGGTTACAGAGAGGGTCAGCTCATGTCTGTGCACGCAGGCACCGAATGAGGCATGTAGACACCACTGGTTGTAAGGTGCATCGAATATAAATTTTACACCTTTCTCAGAGGAATAGTTCCATAAAACCCAGGTTTCCTTCTTGGAACCCACTAGCTCAAGAACATGCATAGAGGAACACTTACTACACACTAACAACCGTCTTTTATTACTACAGTCCTGCAATAGTGCTAGCGTATCGTACTTGCACATATCACATTGTATCCAAGGACCACAAAGCCACGGTACCAAGCAGAGTGATGTTGGAAGCTCCAGGTTCCAGAGCATGCCAAGGGCACAGGAATCAGGGTCCCGATAACATACCCTAAATAAAAGCTCAAAAAAACAATCCTCAAGTCCTGCAGTTTGTAATTTTCTGAATTTCCAAACTTGCCACTTGCATCCTACCCTTCCTGCAATACGGACTCCGGGTAAACATGGCTTTTGCGTGTTAGGACCAAGGTCCGGTTCAACTCACACGTGAACACTTTGTCTTCTGAGTTCAACAGCCCCCTTTGACTTCTTAGTGATGCACGTTCACACGTCAGGTCTCTGAGACCACGGCTATGATCCTTGGGTAGGAGAAACACCTTACACTGGGATGACATCCATGCATACATGTAAAATGTCACAGAGCTACATATTTTAGCACACTTACATGTAACACAGAAGCTAAAGTTCACTAGCTCATCGGAGGTCAGACCTGCAGCTTTTAAAGGCTTACAGTCTTTCCGTCTTCTGACTTAAAGCTCTTGGAAGGTTTAACAATTCGGGTTTAACCGAGAGACACGAGTGAGTCCACGACCCTGCCTGGCCCCGGGGAGTGGGCTGCAGGCCGTGTGAGCAGCCGTGCGAATGAGGAGGTCCCTGCCCTGTGCCTCAGGCACCAGGCACAGCTCTTCTGGGTGGGGAACCTGGGTGGGCAACCAGGGCACTGTCTCCTTACAGAATCTCCAACACCATCTGAAAGCAGCTTCTAGTGGGCAATGCGGGGACGGCTTTTCCCTTTCAGTCAAATATGCAGCTGAGGTAGCTCTTCCTGTGGCCTTCCTTGCCTCGCAGGAGACTCAGTATTCGCTCGTTTTGGGTGAGTTCTGCTGGAAGTTTGTTGGCCTGAAAGAAGGTAAGACAGGCATTAGCGGATTCCCACAGCTGGTGTGGTTTTAGGGACTCCAACAAGGGGGCTCGGACCCAAACCTGCTTCTCTCTTGGTGAAACACCCCTCTGGACTCTGTCTTGTGTTCAGGCATTAAAGGTCTCTCTGGAACGTAAACACGTCACCGGTCAGGGTTATTTTTTGTTAGGGTTACTTTTCCACCGAGCCGTGCCTCTCACTAGACGGTACCCCCCTGGATGCCAGGGCCCATGCTTTTTGGTCGTGTGTTCTCGTTTCCGGCACAACGCCCCGCGCATCTGGCCTGTGCTCCATAAACACTGGTATGTGCCCCTGAAGGGCCTGCCTGAACCTCCGTCAGGAGCAGCCGCACGTAGACTCATAGCTCTCGGAGCGCCCAAGCCCGTGCTGTGCTCACTGGAAACCCCCACAACCACCACCGCTGAGCTCCCAGGAGGCACAGCCAGAACTGCATTTCCAGTTCTATATAAAGGTTCTAACTGCTCCCCGGCCCCTTCATTCAGCCCTGGATGGCTTAGTCACGAGGACACTGCTCCCTTCCAGATGTCCCCGTCCAAGGTCTAAAGATAAGACAGGGGTGGTGCTTCCAGCGGCCTTATCACTCCCCAGGCGCACCAATGGAAGCCAATCTCAGCACCTCGGGAAGAGATAAGCAGAGATAAGCTGTCACCCAGCAGGTCAGTGGTAGGAGCAGGAGAGGACCCGTGGATCACGGGGAGTGAGGAGACCCTTGGCTGCTCAGCTGTACTTCCTGAGTTTCTTTCGAAGTGTCCTGACGGGCTCCTTGCTTTTGTTTTCCTTACGAATAAAATCAGACACAGTAGCAGATGCGCATAGAAATCCAAGCAGCAGGAAAGGAAAGTATAAAATAGAAATAGCTTTCGCCACACCCACTTCCTCCTTCAGAGTGAGCAGCTTAGCCCTGGCTGGTGTGGCTCCGTGGGTTGAGCATCGCCCTGGGCACCGAAAGGCCGCTGGTTCGATTCCCAGTCAGGGCGCATACCTGGGTGCGGGTTCGGTCTTGTCAGGGCACATACTATTGGAAGGCAACCATTGACGGTTCTCTCTCTAAAAATAAATTTAAAAATCTTCAAACAAAAACAGAAATTAGCAGTGTCGTGTGCTTCTTCAAGACCTGTCCTAGGCTCCTGCCCCCACCCCACCCGCCCACTGGACAGCTCATGCAGATGTTGGATAAGAGGAAATACAACAATAATCGTGTGTTTTTCCTATGGCTACCGTGCATCTTCCACCTCCAGATTTGGCCTAACGGTAAACTAAAGAGTTTGAGTTGTAAAAAGACATGGGTTGGTTCTGTAACAGGGCGGTGAAGTCCTGTTAACAACATAAAAGTGACATTTTCCCATGCAGACACCAAACAGAGCACCAGCAACCCCCAGCATGTGACCATCCAGCCTCCGGGGGTGGCGGTAACGACCAGACTCTGACATTTTTAGGGCACTTTGTGGATAACAGGACACTCATAACCCTGCTCCCACACTGCTGTCCACCTCCCCTCCACACACTGTCTCCCCACCCCTGGAGCTGCGCCCTTGTTAGCTGAAACCCACTGATAATACAGGGTTTTATTTTTTTTTTAATATATATATCTTATTGATTTTTTTACAGAGAGGAAGGGAGAGGGATAGAGAGTTAGAAGCATCGATGAGAGAGAAACATCGATCAGCTCGATACAGGGTTTTAGATAATTCTCTGGGTCCAGCCAGGCCAGCATGGCTCATGGTTGAGCGTTGACCTATGAACCAGGAGGTCCCAGTTTGATTCCCAGTCAAGGGCACATAGCTGGGTTACGGGGTCGATTCCCAGTGCAGGAGGCAGCCAATCGATGATTCTCTCTCATCATTGATGTGTCTATCTCCCCCTCTCCCTTTCTCTCTGAAATCAATACGTGCAGTGTAATTCTCTGGTTCAAGGGGACTGCTCACCCACAACCCAGTGACCACCTTGCCTGCCATTTCTAGGCGGAAGTGCAAAGAGAGTGACAGGAGCCAGGGAGGCGTAACCTTGGTTACGGCAGACACTGCCTTACCTCTGCACAGGTGCCTGATGGAGTCGAAAGACGCGCAAGGCAGGCCCGTACCTTGTTTCTCAGGGCTGGGTCTGCCCCCGCCTCCAGGAGCAGCGCAACGGTCTTAATGTTCCCACTGAGCACGGCCGCGTGGAGCGCCGACGTCCCATTCTAAGAGGAAAGACGGTGCGTCAGAGTGACCCAGCCAGCAGCACTCGGCCGGCCTTACGCTCCCGTATGCCCCCTCTTCAGTCACATCAGCCTCTGACACAGTACGCCCAGGTGCACAGCAGGTGGTCAGTGTCAGTGTTGCCAATGCTCTTTTCTTTCAAAAAAAAGTTTAGTTTATTTTATTTTATTTCAGAGCAGAAGGGAAATAAGGAGACAGAAACATCCATGATGAGAGAGACTCATGGACCGGCTGCCTCCTGCACACCCCTCACTGGGGATCGAGCCCACAACCCGGGCACGTGCTCTGACTGGGACTCCAATCGTGACCTCCTGGTTCACAGGTCAACGCTCAACCACTGAGCCGCGCTGCCGGGCCAAGAACAGACTTCCTCACTTCCAACCCCTCTCTCTTACAGACGGGCACCGTGTCTCACCTTCAAAATGCCCAGGGTGGGGGAGAATTTCAGCAGCTCCTGGATGACGGCGTGGTAGCCCTTGTTGGCGGCCTTCAGCAAGGCCGTGGTGCCGTCCTTCAGGACAGGAAACAAACGGGCACTCGGAGTGAGCCGGGCTGAGCACGAGGACCATGCACAGCCGGCCCGGCCCCGACCCAGGAGCCTCCTAGGCACACGCAGCCACCGAGCCTGCTTTAGGGGCACCAGACAAAACCGGTGACTTCTTATGTCATCTCGGGGCCCTGCCGTGGGAATTCACACTCCTCCAGTCCCTTGGGACTCTGGGTAAGGGACAATGGACTAGAGGCATCTCTGTCGATCGTGACCGAGCAGCCCTGTTGATCTGTTGCAGTGACTTAACAATCCTTGAACTGTACTGGCTGTTCTCAAGCGTTAAAGGGGCTTTTCATTGTGTCTTTTCTCGCCTGCAGCCTTGCTCTCCTCTGCCCTGGGTGTCTGTCTGCCTGTGGTGGTGGT